GAGGGAGGAAGGAAGGAAGGAAGGAAGGAAGGAAGGAAGGAAGGAAGGAAGGAAGGGGGGATGGATGGATGGATGGATGAATGGAAGGATGCAGGGAGGAAGGAAAGAGGAAGGAAGGAAGGAAGGAAGGAAGGAAGGAAGGAAGGAAGGAAGGAAGGAAGGAAGGAAGGAAGGAAGGGGGGATGGATGGAGGGAGGGAGGGAGAAAGGAAAGGAGAAAGGAAGAGGGATGCATGGAGGAAGGAGGAAGTGGGGAAGAAAGGGGGGATGCATGGAGGCAGATCTGGTAGCCTAGAGGTGGAGTTCTCACCTCACAATCAGGAGGCTGTAAGTTCGATCCTAGATAGAGGCTAATATTTGGAGTAGACTCTCCTGCTCGAGCAGGCAGTTAGACTAGATGACCTCCAAGGTCCCTTCCAACTCTTGTTATTCTATGAAGAAGGAGGGAGGGAGGAAGGAAGGAAGTGAGGGAGGGAGGGAGGAAGGAAGCGGGATGGATGTATCCAGGAAGAAAGGAAAGAAGGAAGGAAGGGGGAGGGAGGAAGGAGGGAGGGAGGAAGGAAGGGGGGATGCATGGGTGGATAGATAGATGAAGAAGGGAGGGAGGGAGGGAGGAAGGGAGGAGGGGTGGATGGATGGAGGAAGGATGGAGGAAGGAAGGAAGGAAGGAAGGAAGGAAGGAAGGAAGGAAGGAAGGATGGTCCAACCTACTGAGGGTGCACAACTTGGTCATTGTGAACCTCTCTCTCTCTCTCTATGAGCTGGTTCAGAAATTGAAAAAGAAAAAAATACGTACTTATTAGCATAACCATGAGCAGATGGGCAGTCCCTCTACAGACCACAGACCAAGTTCTTACTTTATCATGAAAACTTGGGGGAAAAGGAAAGATTGTGTGACTTCACACAGACTTCATCTTAATGAATTCACGAAGAAAACAAAACCGGAGCGGTGGGGTCCTATTTTAGTTTTCCAGATTCATTAAGAAAGGTCCACGGGAGGCTAGCTTCCCTGATCATGTTCTGCCATTTACACGACTAACTCCCCAGCGACACTGTTATGTACGCACCGCCTTGAGTGTATTTGTAGCAGCACATCTGGAAGATGGAAGAACCAAGCTGACATTCCTATTGTGTTCCCGTCTCAGACTGTTTTATCTGTAGAGTTATGCATTCAGTGAACTGGTGTTTAACTCCATTGACAAGGGAATTGCTTCCTTAACTTGCTGTTCATAGAAACAAGGGTGTTTTACAATCTTAGAGTAGCGGAGGGTCAGCCGTGGGATCCTACCTGTTCCACTACCAGTTTGGTGACTGCACACACGTGCACCTAACGCGTGTGCACAGCTTTCCACTCACCAGCTGAGGCCTGCAGCGCCAATCAACTGAGAGGATAAAGAATAGAAAAGTCCAGGGGCAAGTGGGAGAGCCAATCCTGTGCTTTTCTTTCTCCTCTCAGCTGATCTTCGGAGGCTTTTTTAACGACCCGTTCGGGTAAACCGGTAGCAATTTTTGCTACCGGTTCGGGTGAACCGGGGCGAACCGGTAGCATACCACCCTTGCGGAGAGTCCTCTATACCGTTGAACACTGAGTTTCATAGCTTCTCTCCTGTTGGAATCTTAGAACAACCTCATCCGGGCTGCAAACATTTGGATGGCCACTAGATGGAAGCAAAGTGAGAATTTTCTGCATCTCTTTATCGCCATCGTGTGGTCATACGAATCACTGCAGCCCAGACATAGAGGTAATCCTCAACTTACGACCACAATTGAGCCCAACGTTTATGTGGCTAAGTGAAAAATTCATGAAATGAGTTTGGCCCCATTTTATGACTTTTCTTGCCACATTGGTTAAGTGAATCACTGCAGTTGTTAAGTGAACCTGATTTCCTGATTCATTCTGCTTCTCAGAGATCAGAAGAAAGGTTGCAAATCTTTTGTCCCCTCTTGAAGAGACAATCTTCAGTGTGCTTTAGATTGTGCTTGTCTGAAGGAGCTCTGGCATTTAAACACCTTTCTGACCCCCTCTACAGCCCTTTAAATATTGGAACACTGCTCTCATGTCTCCCCTAGGCCTTCTTTTCATTACCCAATTCCTGCAACCATTCTTCATATGTTTTACCCTCCAGTCCCCTAACCAACTAACCAACTATGTAGTTGGATTAACCAAGGACTATGACTCAGCAACTACAGCCAGCCAATCACACAACCCAAAGTCAAACAAGCACAATCCAAAGTGCACTGAAGATGTCTCCTCGAATGGAGACAAAACATTTGTAACCAAATCGCCAAGCTTGGTGCTCAAGCCAACAACGTAACTACCAACCCGAGGTACTAATAATATTCAAAGACATTTCCACAGTGGAGATTGAAAGGTCTGGTAGGCAGGAAGAGGAGAAAGGCAGAACCTCCCTAGCAGTTCAGAGAATAGATCTGTAATGCCACAAGTCTTGCTTTAATCTGGCAAGATTGATGTCAGACCCAAGAATGAGACATGGAGGAGTTACTTCTGAGTTACAACATGAGGAGTTACTTCTGAGCAGAGATGGTCCCTTTCAGTTCACTTAGTGATGTTGGAAGTTACTGTGATGACCCAAAGTATATCAGAAATATAACAAAACCCAAAGCATAACTAAAAGTCCTTTAATGCCTTCAACTTGGCTTCACTGTTTAATTGTTCACAGTGGAGGAGTAGACTATTTTCAAAATAACATTTCAAAGGAAAGAAACACAGTTCAAATTCAAACAGCCGATAACGAAGCAAAAACTAAAAACAAACCGCACTGAATAAAGTTCCACGACAGACCAGGATAGATAATTGCCAACTTCAGGAAGATAACCAGGGACAGTCCATTGGGAAAACGCCAACCAAGATAAACCTTCTTTAGGAATAAAACACTAATTTGTCTCCAGCGTCTGTTAGCACGCAGGTCCAAACTCTTATGCAAATCTCACACCTGCAACCCAGGAAGAGGATCATGGCCCTCTCCTCCCGAGTAGACCATGTTTTTCCCTGATCCTCTCCTCCCTGCGTGCCCTAGGATAGATAGGGGATGGGCCTGGGTCCTCCTCTGACTGCTCAGCCAGCCTCTGCCCTTCCCCAGCCTCCTCCACCACCTCTGGAGCCACACTTCCACTCCCTGTTGGCTGTTCTTCCTCTTCCTCAGAGTCAGTCTCCACCAAGGGCATGACAATTACAATGGCACTGAAAAGAGTGACTGAAAAATGACCATTTTTTCACACTGACTCACATTTATGACGGTTGTAATGTTCCTGGGTCATGTGATCCCCTTTTGAGACCTTCCGACGAGCAAAGTCAATGTGAAAATCAGATTCACTTAACGATCAGGTTACTAATTTAACAACTGCAGTGATTCACTTCACAAACGTGGCAAAAAAAGTTGTAAAATGCGGCAAAACTCACTTAATAAATGTCTCACTTAGCAACATAAATTTTGGGTTCAATTGTAGTCATAAAATGAGAAATACCTGTGATTTCTTTATTGTTCTCCAGACCCAAGAACCAAGAACGACATGTGCAGTTACTTGCAAGTAGTATCTATATTTACCTACAGACAGAATCTTGCCAGAATAAAGCAGCTATTTGCATGACTATACACTCAGTGAACTGCTAGGGAGGGGATGTCTTTGCCTTCTTCCTGCCTCTCAGATATTCCAAACTCCATAGCTTCTTTGCACTCTGGAAGGCAGCCTTCTCCCTCCTGGGACTCCAGACTACATTCCACCCCAGAGTGGAATGCACAAGTTGCCACAACGGACGGTGTGAATGCAACTGAAGCACAAGTTCATTACCTCTTTTGTATCATCTTCGGCACCGTTGGGTGTTGAGGAAGACAGGATAAGATATTGCGTGGCCCCTTCAACTGGTTCCCACATGAGCTTGATACTGTTGTGGCTGATCTCAGATGTTCTGAGAGATCGAGGCGCAGACAATGGTACTAGGACATGACATGAAAGTGATAAACAGGTGAGTTATATGTGTTTTTGAACAGATATCCATTTGTCCAAAGATGTAAAAATACGAAGGCCAGACAAGGAATAATGGATGGAAACTGAACCAGGAGAGATTCAACCTAGAAATAAGGAAAAATGCCTGTGAGCAATCAACTGAGTTTGCCTTTGGAAATAGTGGGAGCTTCATCACTGGAGGCTTTCAAGAAGAGACTGGAGTGCCACCTGTCAAAAATGGTACAGGGTCTCCTGTTTGGGCAGGGGGTTGGACTAGATGACTTACAAGGTCCCTTCCAACCCTGTTAATCTGTTAATCTGTAACTACATCCAAAGTCCCTTCCAACCTTCTTTCTCTATGTCTGTGATGGCAAACCTATGGCACACGTGCCACAGGTGGCACACACAGCCATTTGTGCGGGCATGAAAGCCCCAGGCAAGCTTACCTCACTGCGTATGCGTGCGCCTCCTGGCTGATTTTCAGCCCATTTGAGGCCTTTTTCAGCCTGCCAGATGCTTGAGGGAAGCCTCTGCAGCCTTTGCAGGCTGAAAAATAGGCCTGTTTCATCAAGGGCCTATTTTTTGGCCTGCAAAGGCTGCAGAGGCTTCCCTCAAGCCTCTGGCAGGCTGAAAAAGGCCTCAAACAGGCCAAAAATCAGTCGGGAGGTACAGTGCAGGTAAAGGGGTGGGAGGGTCGCATACGCATGCACAGGGGCATGGGGGCTCTGTGTGCATTGCCTTCTGGATGCTGGCACGCAAGCGAGCGTGCACAATTTTTGGCACAGGAGCCCCAAAAGGTTAGCCACCACTGTTCTATGTTCTATTCAGGATTCAGATGACTGATGTATGCGACCACCCCAACTGTCTTTCAACAAGCGAAGTCAATGGAGGAAGCCAGATTCGTTTAATGACCATGTGATTCACTTCACTGAGTCACCGTGAGAGAGGACGTGGCAATATAAATTTTCCAAACAAATAAATAAACCGCAATGACTCACTTAGCAACCAGGGCAAAAACCCTCATAAAATCAGGTGTGACTCACTTAACAATCGCCCTGCTTAGCCAACGGCATTCTGGTTGTAAGTTGAGACTGCCTGTAAAATACGAAGCTGAAGTATCAAATATGAAATCGCCCCAAGAGTCAAGGAGGAAAATAGAATTCTTTTTGACAGGGCAAGAAATGTTTGGGAAAAAAATGTTCAGCGGAGTCAGCAGCCTGTTAACCAACCATGTGCAAAAATCTCAAAATGAAGACTATTTTTTAAACCGACGCAGTAAGCAAATCCTGGCTCTGTCCTCTTGTAGACCTGAAGATGCTCATAGCAGACATCTATCACCAATTCTTGAAGTAATGAATTTTTATTATGGCCGATCAACAGTACAATTAATCCCCCGATTAAAGTACGCTTTTCAAAATAAATAAAAATCAGCATAGAAACCCCATCAGAGATGTTTTGCCTTTACAATTATAACAATAACAATAAAAATGGTTTTAGGTATACCTGGGCTCATGTTTGCGAGATTTTAAGTTACATAAAACAACTTCCTTCCTTCCTGAGAATTTCAAAAGAAGGAGAGCTGTAGCCTTCTATCACAATAAATTATTCTATTGCAAGGAACACTGGCTGCAGTTCTGAAGGTCCCAGAGTCACAGGAGTACATATATACCCCAGAGCAACTTTAAGATGTGTGGACTTCAAATCCCAGAATTCCCAAAGCCAGCATAGAAACAAACAGATCTTTTGAGCCTGAGGTAGTATATTCCAAAAAAATACAGAGTTGGAAAGGATCTTGGATATAATCTAGTCCAGCCCCCTGCTGAAGCAGGAGATTATACCAGTGGTGGCTAACCTTTTTGGACTCCTGTACCAAAAATTTGTGTGTGCGCTTGTGCGCGCGCTCTCACGTGCCAGCACCCAGAAGGCAATGCACGCAGCCTCCCCCATGCACCCTGCGCATGCGTGCGTGATTTCCCACCCCCCCACGCTGCCGCCCCCTTACATGCACTGTACCTCCCAGCTGATCTTCAGCCTATTTGAGGACGTTTTCGGCCTGCCAGAGGCTTGGAGGCCGAAAAATGGGCCCGTTTTGTCACTTCCGGTATTTCCGGAAAAGGGCCGGAAAATCAGCTGGGAAGCGCACACGCGCATGCGCAGTGAGGTAATTTTGCTTGGGGCTTGCATGCCCGCACAAATGGCTCTGCGTGTCATAGGTTCACCCTCATGGCTCTATACTATTCCAGACAAATGGCTGTCTAATCTCTTCTTGAAAACCTCCAGTGATAGAGCACCCACAACTTCTGAAGGCAAGCTGTTCCATTGATTAATTGTTCTCACTGTCGGGGAATTCCTCCATAATGCTAAGTTGGTTCTCGCCTTGCTTAGTTTCCATCGCCTTCAGGTGCTTTCTCTGTGACAGCCCCTCAAATACTGGAAGATAGTATCTCATCACCCCCTGGTCCTTCTTTTCGTTAGACGAGGCATAACTAGTTCCCTCAATCATTCATTGTACCCTAACCATCTTTGTTGCTCTTCTCTGCACTCGTTCTAGAGCCTCAACATCTTTTTTGTATCGTGTTGACCAGAATTCATTTCATTTGTGTATTTTATTTTGTTTATTTTATTTTGTTTGTCAAACATGTACAAGATAAACAAGTGTAGGTATGAAGATAAACATGAACAAAGGAAGTAAATCTAGATAAATGGGGACAGTAAGACAGGGACTGGTGCGTTTATGCACGGCCCCTTTAAGGACCTCTTAAGAATGGGGTGAGGTCCACAGGAGACAGTTTGAGGTTGAAGCTGTGAGATTTGAGAATTGGACTCAGTATTCCAAGTGTGGTCTTACCAGTGCAGTAGTGTCACTCCTCATGATAGCAATGGCAATAGCACTTAGACTTATATACCGCTTCACGGTGCTTTACAGCCTTCTCTAAGCAGTTTTACAGAATCAGCCTATTGCCCCCAACAATCTGGGTCCTCATTTTACCGACTTTGGAAGGATGGAAGGCTGAGTCAATCTTGCGCTGGTCAGGATTGAACTGCTGGCAGTCGGCAGAAATTAGCCTGCAATACTGCATTCTGACCACTATGCCACCACAGTTCTTAATGATCCTGATACTATCCCTCTGTTGATGCAACCTAGGATTGTGATGGCGTTTTTGTTTTTCCTTTTGCTTGCTATTGTAAAGACATTGGAAACCTCACGACTTACGTGTTGAACTGATGCCCCTGAGACCGTCACCTACAGCATTCTCATAAACAGGGAAGACCGAAACCAGATATTCCGTCTGTGGTGTCAGATTAAGAAGCTCCACACTCGAGGTGGCTCCATCCAGAGCAACCTGAAAATTATTTGATTGATTGTTTTATATTTACATCTTGTTTAATTTGTCAAGCATGTATTAGATAACAGGTATAAGTATGAACATGATTATGAATACATGAAACGGATAGGAATAAAAGGGGGCATTAGGACAGGGACGGTAGGCACGTTGGTGCACTTATGCATGCCCTCTTAGGAACAGGGTGAGGTCAACAGTAGACAGTCTGAGGTTAAAGTTTTTGGGGTTTGGGGAAGAAACCACAGAGTCAGGTAGAGTATTCCAGACATTGACCACTCTCTTGCTGAAGTCATATTTCCTGCAATTGAGTTTGGGTGGTTTACCTTAAGTTTGTATCTGTTGTGTGCTTGTGTATTGTTGTGGTTGAAGTTGAAGTAGTCATTGATGGGTAGGACATTGCAATAGATAATTTTATGTACTACGCTTAGGTCGGACCAAAGGCAATGTAGTTCTAGGTTGTCTAAGCCTAAAATTTCAAGTCTGGTGGCATAAGGTATTCTGTTGAGAGTAGAGGAGTGGAGGATTCTTCTCATGAAAATATTCAAGATTACAGCCCAACCACTCTGAGTGAAAACCCAGTCCTCAAATCTCCTTGTAGTGGTGGCCCAACAAATTATTATTTAACTTTAAATAGCTTTGATTCTGAAGACGATGCCCGAGGATAACATGGATAGCCAAGAAAATAAAAAAACATGGATCCTAGAACAAGTCAACCAGAGTTCTCACTCCAGGTACAAATAACCAGGCTTAGACTATCGTTCTTTGGGCACATGGCTCCTTTGAGAAGTCCACAAATGGTGTAAAAAATTGAAGGAAAGACAAAAAGAGGATTGATAGAAGAGAACATTTGTAGCTCAGGGTTGAACTATGGAGTTCTTGATGCTGTCTGAGCTTCGTGGTTTTCTTACAGATGTTTCCTTATCAAACTAGGTAACATCATTAGTACTAGAAGGGAGGGCTATGTGGAGAGGAGGAGGAGGAGGACTGTGGGGTCCTTGATTTTCTCTGAGCTTGATGGTTTTCTTACAGACATTTCATTACCAAACTAGGTAACAACATCAGTACTAGAAGTTGTTTGTGGAGAAGAAGCTATTTGTGGAGTGGAAGAGTAGAAGGGGAGGGGGAGGAGGAGGAGGATCAGGAGAAGGAGAAGGCGAATGAGGAGGAGGACTGTGAGGTTCTTGATGTGCTTCATGCTTGGTGGTTTTCTTGCAGACATTTCATTACCAAACCAGGTAACATCATCAGTACTAGACAGGAGAGCTGTTTGTGAAGTGGAAGAGTAGGATATTAGGAGAAGGGGGGCAGGAGGAGGAGGATCAGGAGGAGGAGGAGGACTGTGAGGTCCTGGGTGTACTTGGTGTACATTTCATTACCAAACTAAGTAACGTTGTCAGTGCCAGCATGAAAAATCTGCAAGAAAACCACCAAGCTCAGAGAGCATCAAAGGACCCCCGTAAGAAGAGGATTACTAGCAAAAAGGGAAGTGAGGAAATTGATCTAGGTGACACATGACTGATCATTCAATATCCCTCCGGATGGGTCAGCTTAAGACATCAACCAAAACATAGACCTACCTCCTTGGGAATTCCACCTCGCGATGGGTAATAGACCACTCTGTATCTCTGGGGTGTTATGAGTGGTGGGTTCCAGATGAGGTGCATACTTCTGGAAGTAACTTCTTTTAAGAGGAGATTGGTTGGGCTCAAGTGGACTCCGGATTTCGCTGACATGGTTTTCATTGGATCCCCTGCAACACCCAAGCGATGGGTACCGTTTTATTTGGGGTTGGGGAAAACTGGATGAATTCACTTACGTGTTCATTTTGCTGAACTTATCCACTGCCCCAATTCACCTGTACTCTATGGGCGTGCTTTATGGTTGCAGGAACTGGCTAGTCTAATGAAGAGAAGGACCAGGGGTGACATGATAGCAGTCTTCCAATATCTCAGGGGCTGCCACAAAGAAGAGGGAGTCGAGCTATTCTCCAAAAGACAAGAAGGATGGAAACTAATCAAGGAAAGAACTAACCTAGAACTAAGGAGAAAATTGTTGAACGGTGAGAACAATTAACCAGTGGAACAACTTGCCTCCAGAAGTTGTTAGTGCTACATCACTGGAGACTTTCAAGAAAAGACAGTGTTTGAAATGGTTTAAGGTCCCCTGTTTGAGCACTGGGTTGGACTGGAAAAACTTCAAGGCCCGATCCAACTCTTTTATTCTCTTATCTCAAAGTGAATCCAAAAAAATTGTTTTGCCCTGAATATGAAATGCATTCTTTCAAGGCTACAATTTGTTTTCTTGTGTTCTAAACTGTCTTTTTCCATCTACAGTGGATTCCTTGGGCCATTTTTGGGAACGTTTAAACTATTTCGAGCTTGATAGAGCACTCAAATGATTGGAGTGATCTCATAAAAAAAGATTTGACACTTAGCACAAGACATTTTTTAATTTGAAGTGGTTCAAAACATTCTGGATATGCCTACGGTAAAGCTGGTTAGATGAGTTGACAAATTTGGCTTTTCAAAGCTAAGCTCTTAGTCAGAGATTAAAACAGTGGAAGAATAAAATCTAACATACATTTTAAAAAAATCAAAGCACTAAAGCAAGGTGGCTGGATCTGTTTATAGTTAGGGCTATGAATAAATCATAGCTTGAAGTGAGGCTAAAATATTGGTTAAGAATGGCATCGTTTATCCCAATGAAAAACAACTTAATGTAAACGATGCGCTGTCTTTATTTTCTCTCTTCATGGTAGAATTTGATTCACATCTCCTGCGCCAAGAATTGTTCGTAGGGCTGCAAAATGCAAAACGATTCCCATTTTGGTGCAGGAAATGAAGTTTTCTGAGAAAAATGAATCTTATTATTGAAGAAAAAAATGTTCCGGCGATGAAAAACCCCATTCATCCCTAAAGTATCTAAATATTAAAAATATGTGGATTGCATTTCTGCATAAGAGGCTGACTGTCAACTCACAAAGCTTTCCTGATTTGCTCCCAGGTTGCCTTATGCAAGAGGATGGAGGAATCGCGCCACGCAGCTGCATCGAGGAATTCGCACCTCAGTCAAAACAAAACACATCCTAGGCAAAAATGGTATTCAGCCAGTTTGGACTTGTTCTGACGTACCGGTAGTGGAAATTTTGAGTAGTTCAGAGCACCAGCAAATACCACCTCTGGCTGGGCCCGCACGCCCACCCCCACTGTTACCTCTCCTATATTCCCTTGTTTTTTACCTCAGCTGATCCGCCTGGCAGAGCAGATTGCCACGCCTCAGCTGAGGTAAAAAAAAACAGCTCAGCACACCAGCGCTGACTCAGAGGGCGATCTTTGAGGTGTTTGCGCATGTACACAAAGCGTGCATTAGGCACACATGAACCAGTAGAAAACAAAATTGGAAACCCACCACTGATCCTAGCCGGGCCTGAAGTCAAGGCCATCTCCATGGAGACCCACAATGGCCAGAGGGAGTGACTTCTACAACCCACAAATTTGCTTCGTTGGGAAATGTAACCAACGGCACACTTTGCAGGGAGGGGGAACCAGGGTCAGAAGCAAGGCGCGAACTGAGTGAAGTTAGAACTGGCTTCGCTTGGTCCGCATCGACATGGCGCTCCTAATAAACAACTGGATTTTTCTTTGAAACTTTGTTTGAGGCTCCTGATTTTATGAGGGCATCGGTTGGAACCCTGACACTGACATGGCATTCTCGGGATGGGGAGGTTTGTAAATGTATGGCTAAGCCCCACCCCTTTTTATATGCCTCATCATAGCCCCATCCACCATCTTGGCGCCTCTGGTGCCAGTTGAGTGAGTCAGCAGAAATGGGGTCAGCCTCACCTCAGAGAGGTCCTTGGTGCCTGGTGGTTTTCTTGCAGAGTTTCATTACCCAGATTAGGTAACATCATCTACTCATCTAGCACTGACGATGTTACCTAGTTGAGTAATGAAAAGCTGCAAGAAAACCACCAACTTCAGAGAGCACCGTGGTCCCCATGTTCAACCCCGAGCTACAAATATTCTCCTTTTTGGTATCACCTATATTCTTCTGGTTCTTCTCCTTGATCCAAGCACATAAGAGCCATGTGAGCCGGCTGACCAGAGAACGGAGCAGAGGAAAATCCACCACATTGTAGACGGTCATCTCAAGGGGTTCGGAGGCCACTTGGCGCAGCTCTGTTTCATCAGCGTTTTTTACCCCTGAAACAAAGAGGAAACATGAGGATCTGGAGGTAACATGGATGAAAAGTGTGAAGCCTGCGAAAAACCATCTAGCAGGATGTCTACGAAGATTCTCTCTTTTTTGTCAAGTTTTTTATTTTATATTACTTATACATATCAAAGCGTGAACAGTGTGATACCTGGGTACCATTCATTTAGTACAGGTAAACATAATCTTGTAACTCATTAGTTATTACATTTTATTTTTATTATTTCATATTATTTAATAATACTACCATCATTTAATTTCTAGACTTCTCTCTTACTATTGCATAGATCTTGTTATATTAAAATATGTATATTGTTATTCCCCTCTTATTTCTATTCCTCAATCATCCGGGTCGTGGTTGTCCCAAAGTTGCTTTTCCAAAAGGCAACTGGGGTTTCTTGATTTTTTTCCCCCCTTGAAGACGTTTTGATCCTCATCCAAGAAGCTTCTTCAAGTTCTTCTGAAACCAAGTTTTCTTGAGAGGGGCGAGGAACAAGAAAATCCAGTGGCCTTTTGGAAAAGCATCTTTCAAACATCTAGAAGGGCCGTTTTGATGGGATGCATTGGCTAAGAGGGAAGATAACAGATTTAAAAGTTCTGGGAATAAATAAAGACTCTGGGAGTCTTGCCACCAGCATCATCCGCTGTCAAAAAGGCAAGATGGCTGCCTCCTTCCCATGAATGCTGCCATTTGCTACTTTTCTGTGGTGGGTTTGCAGAAATAATATCCACTGGTAATACCCCAAATGTAAGGGATATCCTGGTTTGGGGTTCTAATCAATCATCTATTGGAACCGTCCAACCATGACTAGCCCTGATGATGTTACCTAATTTGCATAATGAAACATCTGGAACAAAACAAGCCAAGCTCAGACAGCACCAAGGACCCCTCAAATCATCCCGCCAGCCATGCTTTTACTAGAAGGCCTCTCCATTTGATCCCCATTTTCTCTCTTTGGGCTTTCTTTTTCTTTTGCAAAAAATAAAATAAAATAACATTCTTGTCCAGTGTGTTTAGTTGTTATTCTACTTTCTTCAATTCCTTCTCTTTTCTACTCCTTCTCCTCTTCGCCTTCTTCTCCATTTTCCTTCCTTTCCCTTTTCCTCCTCCTCTGGTTCTTCCCCTTCTCCTTGTCCTCCTCCTCCTTATCTCCATTTCCTTTCCTTGTTCTTCTCCCCATCAGCTCCTCCTCTTCCTTCATCTTCTCCTTTTTCTTCTCCTTTTTCTTCACTTTGTCCCTTCTCCTTCCTTCTGTCCTCTCCTCCTCCTCCTTTTCCCTATCTCCATCTTCCTTCCTCCTCTTCTTCCTTCCCCTCTCCATCCTCCTCCCCCTCTTCTTCATTCACTTTTTCTTTGCCCTTGTCCTTCTACTTCTCCACCTCTTTCTCCCCTCCTCCTCCTCCTCCCCCTCTTCTCCTTCTTCTTCCCTCTTCTCTTTTCTCTTTGTCTTCTTCTCATCCCTTATCCTTCTCCCCCCCCTCCTCTCCTTCTCTTCTGTCTCCTTTAGAACTCTTTTCCCTGGGAGATATTTTGTGCTACAGAATTCTCCAAGAAATATCCCTCTTGATTATGGATGGCACTGTTTGGGTGACTCCTCCACGAACAACACATTTAAACAAAGCACAGCTCCTGCCTTCTCATAGCATGTTGTGTCCTGGCTAACAAACTCTGTTGTGGCACAATGAGATAGCCTGCCTGAGTCTAAACGCCTGCCATGAAAGATTCCCCTACCCATAAACAACCCCACTCAGTCCATCAGAATGCGTAAATCTAACACAAAAACCTACTTCAGTGACATTTAGTAGAATTCGATGTACGTGAAGCCCCTCAATATTTATACCTATCCAGGTGCCTTTCAGATACAAAAGACTACAGTGCACATCAGTCCAGTCAACATTCATCACGGCCAAGGCAGCCAGGGATAATGGAACCTGTAGTCCAAATTATTTCTTAGCAGGACACTGGGGAAAGGCTCTTGGAACAGAATAATTGTTTAGTTTGCAAATGGTTTCAGCTTGAGTGGAGAGACACCGCCATCTCGTGGTCAGATCAGGTATTGACATGAGACAGAGAGGGTTTTGAAGAGGTGAAGAGGAGTGGACTTCAACTCCCAGAATTCCCTACACTGACTTGGGTCTGGGGCAGGGGTCGTCAAACCTTTGGACCTTAGGGACCACCAAAATCATAATTTTAAATCCCGCAGACCAGAGACCCTGGGAAAATCCTCCCAAAAGTCTAACCCACCCCGTTTTCCTACCAATCGATCATTCTTTATTTGGGATCACAGGATACCATCTCCAGCTCCATTCTCAGAGGGAGAGAGAGAGAGAGAGAGACTTTTGACTTCATGCAAGGAAAGCAGCAGAAGCAGCAGAAGTCTTTCTTTCTCTCCCCCAAACTCCACCAGAAATGAGTCTTTGTGAGACTTATCACACCTGCGCAGCCTCTTGGAGCAGGATGCCTTGCAGGGTCCCAAAGACTCATTTCTGGTGGAGTTTGGGGGAGAGAAAGAAAGACTTCTGCTGCTTTCCTTGCGTGCAGCCAAAAGCGGAAGAAGAAAGAAGCAGCCCGGTGGCCAGCTGGGGCACATGGGGCAAGTTCCCCCCTCCACCCTTTCCCCACTCCCCTCACTACCTCGTGTTGTTCACAATGCAAGCGACACAAGCCTTGTGTTCCGCAGGCCATGTGGGTGTCACAGCCTTGTGTTCCCGCGCAGCCTGGATTAATTGCTTTGGGGGGGACATTTCTCTGCAGACCACCCAAATTTTCTCGCAGACCACCAGTGGTCCCTGGCCCACTGGTTGGTGGCCACTGGTCTGGGGGACTCACCCACAGCGAATATCTTGATTCCCATATTCTTCAAAGTCTGGGCAGGTGGGCTGGCATCATCCTGAGATTTGCCATCGGTCAAAAGGATGAGGAGTTTAGAAGCTTCAGGCCTCGCACCCACTTCTTCTTTCAGGTTGTGCTCTAGGACATGTGTAAGCGCCAATCCTTGGATGGGGGAAAAAAGAGAAAAGGAAAAAATAATAGTTAGAAAGGTCCAGAGAAAAGGAACGAGATGTCATTCAGGTCTTGATTTCTCCCTTTCCTTAAATCTGAGCCAAAGTGGCGTTTCACGCCTGGCCTCTTTCCGTAAAGGATGACAAACATTGCAAAATGTTCTACAGGGGAGTCCTCAACTTATGACCACAACTGAGCCCAAAATTTCCATCATTAGGAGAGACATTTGTTAAGTGAGTTTTGCCCCACTTTGACACCTTTCTTGACACAGTTGTTAAGTGAATCGCTGCAGTCGTTATATCAGTAACCTGGTTGTTAAGTGAATCTGGCTTTCCCCGTTGACTTTCCTCGTCAGAAGGTCACAAAAGGCGAATACATGATTCCAGGACACTGCAACAGTTCAGAGGTAATATTCAGCCAGTTCGAACTGGTTCTGGTGTAGCGGTAGTGGAAATTTTGAGTAGTTTGGAAAACTGGCAAATACCAGAATAATGTCAGGTTTCCAAGTGATGAAATCCATTTTAAAAAAGAAAAGAACAAAGTCCATCTTCCAAGACAATTTCTTTTATTTAGGAAAGCATCAAATTGGTGAAGTCCATGGTAATTCTGAATCTGACACAACCCAGAATTACCCCACAATATTAGAAGTTAGAAACAACCCCCAAAAGTCACATTCCCCAATAGAAGTAATTCAACATTGTTTGATGTCATAAATCTCTGCTTCAAGGGGCCTAAGCACGGACAGCTTGTTTTCCCACAGGAAGAAGAACCACCTAGCCAAAACAACTCTCTTTATCTCCACTCCTTAGGAATGTGGCAAGCCCGAAACCCTCCCCCCCCCCATGACTGCCACAGAGAAAGTAAGAAAAGAATATATACTAAGCCTAACTAAAATGGCTACACATAGGTCAATTTCAGGCTTGACAACCTCTGGCTGGGCCCACCCACCTGCCACCGCCGTTACCTCTCCTATATTCCCTTGTTTTTTTACCTCAGCTGATTCACGTGACAGAGCAGATGGCCGCACCTCAGCTGAGCTAAAAAAAACCAGCACAGCTCACCAGCATTGATGCAGCAGGCGGTCTTTGAGCCCTGCACACATGCGCAAAGCGTGCCCTTAGAACAGTGGTGGGATTCAAAAATTTTTACTACTGGTTCCGTGGCTTGGTGGTTGTCGCTTGGTGGGCATGGCAGGGGAAGAATACTGCAAAATCCCCATTCCCTCCCCACCCTACTAACCTGCTTTCCAGCTCCATTGTCCTGTGCAGGGCAACAAAAGAAGACTCAACCGATCAGCTGGGACTCAATGGGAGGCAGAGAATAGAAGGGGGCGGGGCCAGTCAGAGGCGATATTTGCCAATTCTCCAAACTACTCAAAATATCCGCTACCGGTTCTTCAGAACTGGTCAGAACCTGCTGAATACCACCTCTGTATTGGCTATTTCCTAATATGATTTAATTGCCTATTTGTACCCTATCCTTAAGTGTTGTACCTGATGATTCTTGACGAATGTATTTTCTTTTTAAGTACACTGAAAACATATGCACCGAAGACAAATTCCTTGTGTGTCTAATCACACTTGGCCAATAAAGAACTCATTGATTGATTGATTGATTGATTGATTGATTGATTGATTCATTCATTCATTCATTCATTCACCTGTAAAAGTGTTCCCTCCTTTGTAGCGCAAATTCCGAATGGCTTTGGACACCTGTTCCCAGGTGGAATACGTATTCAGATCCCATTCTGTCCGTGGGTCACTGCTGTATTGGGACAAACCTGGCAGAAATGACAAGGAGAAGTGGTGAGAAAGAAAACTGGGGTTTTCCACTCTTTTTTCTACTTCTTTCTTCTTTCATTTTGCTGCAATTTCTGCCCTTTTCTTGTCTTTTCTTTTTTTTAAATATAGTTTGTATTCATTTTTGCTAAGTTTGTTTAAAAAATCCAGTAAAACCATTTTCTTTTCTTTTTTCCTGCACTTTCTGCAGTTTTTCTGCTTTAGTTTGTATTAGTTTCTTTATAAAGAAAAGAAATAAAATTATTATTAAAATTCTTCTGTTTTCTTTTTTCCTTGCGTTTTTTTTCCCTGCACTTTTCCTTCTCTAATCTAGTTTGTATTAGTTTTTACTTTGTTTTTTGAAAATTTCAATACTATTATTATTTGATTATTAAAATATTTCTTCTACTTGTTTCTTTTTTTTCTATATTGTTTTCCTTCTGGTTTAGTTTGCATTACTTTTAGTATGATTATTAAAATGTCACTAAAATAACTTTTTTTTTCCTTTGCATGTCCTTTTTTCCCCCCTTTCTGTCTTTTTCTTTTGCCTTTTTTTTAAATTGAGATTTTAGTAATGATCATTAAACATTTCAATTAATTTTTTTTTTTAAAAAAAGCAAGCAAACTGGTCTATCCGTGGAGGATGTAAAACAGCAATAAGAATTGTTCCTGAATTCTTTGAAAAGCTGTGTCTTCTAAGTCTGGACTTTTTCTATCGTCGCAACATTTTCTTGAGTTGCAATTACCAGTGAATTCACTACTATCGTAACAATGCAAGAAATGATTTTAAGAGATCAAAGAGTCTCTGCCATAATGATAAATGTTGCTGCTTTCTTGGATTGGTAGAAAACATTGTTTTTTCCAAAACTGAATAATTCCTGAATTTGATGGCTGCAAAAAAAAAAAAAAGCGCCACTCACCTACTCTGATCTTATCTTCAGCAATATTGAAAGGTGCCAGCAAAGATGCCAGGAATTCTCGAATGAGTCCAAAATTGTTGCGTCCGATACTCCAAGATCCATCCACCAGCAGGATAATATCAGTCGCAGCAGAGGTATCACAATGGAAATGGGAAACTATGAAGACAAGCAGAAATGGGGAGGAGGAGGAGGAGGAGGAGGAGGAGGAGGAGG